CGATTCTTTATCATTGCTAATGGATAAGTAGTCAATTTTTTCATTCTAATACAATTTTTTCAAGGGATCTGATCAACTCACTTCGAAGACACCACATTTCACCGAACCCATTTTACCGACAAGCTTATTTTATAGATGACTAATTTACTGACAAGTACATTTTGTAGATAGTGACAACCTAAAAATGGCGAGTCGGTCGCTAATCAAACCAAGACCTTGTGTAACCTACATTTGGCTTAGATTTGGCGAGTAGGTGATTTTAGACGTAGGTATAACTTCTACAATTTATGTTGGGACTGGTTTATGGAGCACTAACACTTGTATTATCGTTTTACAATATTCTTAACAAACCACGGATTGAGTTCTTCCACTAAGACCTCAAACCGGAACACAATCCAACCACAGATTCCACAGTCCGTTGGGAACCTGGAAAACAACCACAACTAGTTCACGGTACGTTGGGATAGCTGGAAAACCACGGCAGTCCTCAGTCCATCGAGAATCAACCGGAAAACAATTTTCTTTCGAAGTCACATGAGCAAGACAATCGATGGACAAAGATCTTTCACTATGCCACTTAGTGATTGATCTGGGTAAGAAGTGTTTAGTATAGCAGGTTTATTTAGAGACTTAGATTTATAAGGGTCAATTGGGTCAATTGGGTTAATTTGGTAGTTTTTATTAGGGATCGATAGTTATAAGCAAACATAATTTATTGTTCTCAGGGCCTTTATGGCCTTTATTTATAATAAAATATTTCGGTATTACAATAGTTCAACAAATGCGACAAATCTAATAAATGCGACAAATCTAATAAATGTGACAAATCTAATAAATGCAACAAATCTAATAAATGCAACAAATCTAATAAATGTGACAAATCTAATAAATGCGACAAATGCGATAAATCAGATAAATCGGATAAATTAGATAAATTAGATAAATGCGATAAATTGCACTTGACCTGTGATCCTGAGTCATACTTTGGCCGCAGTAGTTAGGTCAGATTCCGGGGCCCACATTTCTCCCCTACTTAAATTCGAGTTCCACGAGACTTATTTTCAGATTAGAAGTTGGTAGCAGAGTATTAATATGGGGTCAATATCTTCTTTTCAGATTAAATAGAGCAATTAGGCAACCGAAGACAGTGATTCTGTTCCACTGCGGTAAGTATAGGGTGGCTCTTTTTATCTAGTTCTTTGTCATGAGTTTACTATTGCTTGATTTACTTAACTTATCTTCTCTTTGTTTTTATTGCATGGGTATTTTCGGGTCTCGATTTTCACATACACGTTTGGGAATTCTCTTTTTTGTCCCACGTATAATTTCACAAACTCTTGTATGACCTCAATTTGCTTTAAAAATTCAATAACCTTCTTTTTCCAATTTTCACAGATTTTCCCAAGACTTCTTTCACTCCGATCATACAATCCACCGGGGTCAAATTTGCCACTCGTCTCATCATTCTATTTACATGGGTCTTCAATTTTCTTATTTTCACTTTTCTCAATAATATTTTTAGTTGGAAGTTCTTGGTTAAATTCCTTTTCTTCCTCTGGAGCACATTTTTGTATAAGTTCATTACATTCAGCGGCTAATTCTTATGGGAGGGTTTCCAAATCAACTTTTTCTTCTTCCGAATCAAGATCAGAATTCTTAAAGGGTTTTTCTGGAACGTAGTAAGTGTCGAGGACTTCTGCTGCGGTAGGTCTTTTCCGTCTGGGCTTTACCGAGCAATCTTTAGGGACACCTTTGACATTTTTGGGGCATTCTTGATGCTGAATAGAATGACGATGATCAGTGTCTCTATATACAACGGCAAGTATACAATGTTTTCTACATCTCTTATGTCACTCATGACTACTTCTATTACTTCTAATACAAATTCCAAGGCCTGGGGAATTTGTCTTTCGCTGATATAATAATTTCTGAAGGCTCCATTGATTATTTCTTGGACTTCGACGGCTTGTTTTTGAGTGAGTCTTGCAAATAACATTGCACATTCTTTTTCTAATTCTTTTATATCTGGATCTTCACTGAATTTATAAATTCTTTTTTGACAGTCTGCAGATAGGATCTTCTTTCAGGACCCATGACCATTTTGGGAGCTTCTTGGAACACAGGGCAGCGAGGTTTTATTAAAGTAATTATTCCTTCTCATTTATTAATAATATATATATTTTTTCCTTTTAAATCTCATGGTTCACCACCAAAATGACAACCTAAAAACGGCAAGTCGGTTACTAATCAACCAAGACCTTGTGTAACCTATGTTTGGCTTAGTTGAAGAGGTGTTTAGATTTGGTGAGTGGGTAATTTTAGACGTAGATATAACTTTTACAATTTATGTTGGGACTGGTTTATAGAACACTAACACTTGTATTATCGTTTTACAATATTCTTAACAAACTATGAATTGAGTTCTTCCACTAAGACCTCAAACCGAAACACAATCCAACCACAGATTCCACAGTTTGTTGGGAATCTGGAAAACAACCACAACTAGTCCACGGTATGTTGGGATAGCTGGAAAACTATGCCAATTCTCAGTCTGTCGAGAATCAACCGGAAAACAATTTTCTTTCAAAGTTATGTGAGCAAGACAATCGATGGACAAAGATCTTTCACTATGCTACTTAGTGATTGATCTGGGTAAGAAGTGTTTTAGTATAGCGGGTTTATTTAGAGACTTAGGTTTATAAGGGTCAATTGGATCAATTGGGTTAATTTGGTAGTTTTTATTAGGGGTCGATAGTTATAAGCAAACAGAACTTATTGTTCTCAGAGCCTTCACGGCTTTTATTTATAATGAAATATTTCGGTATTACAATAGTTCAATAAATTCGATAAATCTAACAAATCAAACAAATGCGACAAATCTAATAAATGCGACAAATCTAATAAATATGACAAATCTAATAAATGCGACAAATCTAATAAATGTGACAAATCTAATAAATACGACAAATTTAATAAATATGACAAATGCAATAAATCAAATAAATCGGATAAATTAGATAAATTAGATAAATGCGATAAATTGCACTTGACCCGTAATCCTGGGTCATACTTTGGCCGTAGTAGTTAGGTCAGATTCCAGAGCTCACAATAGTATACTTTATTGACAGAGACGAAGTAATTCTAGTCATTGTCATCAGAGTTAGGTTTAGAATTAAAGTTAAGATTAGTGTGGCCTATAAAAAAAACTTGTCTGTGAAAAAAGCTGTTGATAAAGTATATTGTCTACGAAAGGAACTTGTCGGCAATTAATTGTCTGTTGTCGATAAAATGGATTCAGCAAAATGTGGTGTCTTTAAAGTGATTGTCGATGAAATAATACAGATCTGTTTTTCAAATAAAAATAGAACAATAATCAGAATTTAGTTTCTTAGTATAATAAAGAAAAGTTAAATAATGAAGGCAAGAAAAAAATTTTTACTTATCTTTTGCATTATTGTGCCAATATTATCTAGCCACAGTGGTATACCAACTTTGGTATATTTTCTGGATGCATAAAAATTATTTGAATGCTGCAAAGAGAAAGTGAGACTTTGGAAATTTATCATTCATTATTCATTATATTAAGCTCATGAGAAATGTATTACTATCTGGTTTAAATATGGTAAACAACAATAAATAATAAAATTCCCAGCACACATTAATGATAGTTCACAATAAAAATAATAAATTAAAAGGCTATATATTACCAATTGGATTTTCAGAGGTCCATATTATTTCACCAACAATCACTCACTGACAAGCCTATTTTACAAACGATTAAATTTTACATAAAAAAAAATCATTTTGTAGACAGTATGTTTTATCAACAGCTCATTTCACAGACAAATTTTTTTATAAATCGCACTAATCATTAATTCTAACCTAACTATAATGACAATGACTCAAATTACTTTGTCTGTGAAATGGGTTGCCAGTAAAATATACTGTCAGTAAAATAAACTTTATTGGTAAAATGTAGTATCTTTGAAGTGTTTGTCTGAAAGTTGATCGGAACTGGATTTTTAGGTTATTTAGTAGAAGCATATTGGTATTTAAAGCTAAAGGTCTGTTTTTTTGGCAATATTTTATTTAATATTGGGTCAGCTTCAACATAACGATAAGTGGATTTGGAATCAAAGACTTATAATTAGTTGTTTGATGAATTTGTCTGACAGACAAATTTAGTTGTTCCAAGTGACAACACTGCCGTATGGGCATTATTTTATAATTCAGTATATTAATATAAGCAAGCAATTGACCAATCAATACAATTGTACAATTCAAATTTGAAATATATATTTAGTGTTTGACAAAATTAAACTTTTATTTGAATCAAATTTTGTCAAATACTATTTATTTAGAGGGCTGGTAATCGTATCCCACATTTAGTATTTGTACCCCCCATGCCAGTAATTTCCGAAAATCACATGAGCACGTGACATTTTCTATATATGATTGGTTAATATTACTACATTTGTTAATATGGTATTTATAAATTTGTAGCACAAGTATATAAGTGCCACATTAAATTGACAAAATAAATTTGATGATTAATGTTAATAAATGCTATGCTTTATTATAATAATAAAAATTAAAAATATTGTTACAGTAAAATTAACATGAGCAAAAAATCATAATAAAGAACCATAATTTAATTGACAACCATGCCCCGATACCGATCGGCGCATGCATGTTTCATTTAATTTTGGTCTAATTATTGTTGCATAATCATTGTCAACAAACAGATAATTGAACAGCCAACATAATATGACCAAATTGAGAATGGCTTATAATTGAAAAGCCCAGATTTCAGTATAGTATAATAAAGTTGTTGAAAAAAGAAATTATAGATTAAATAACAACGTGTAGGTTTTAGATCGAATCCTGATAATAAGAATTTTGATTGGGTTGAAATCTCTAAAAACTAGCTAAAATTATATAACTCTAACTCAAATCCTGATAATAAGAATCTTGCTTGGGTCGTATTCTCTAAAAAACCAGATAAAATTGAACAACTCTAACTTAATATTAGCTAACTTTGGATGATATCAAGATTTTAAATAAATCTTTCCCAATGGAATCAAAGAATCAAATTCATAATAGTGTATAAAATGTAATTTTGATTTATCATTGTTATCTCTTGATTTAGTGGTTAAATTTTTATAATTTTAGTATCATTCGAATCATTTTATCAAGTTGATTTGAATGGTTCTAAAAGCATCAAAATCCAATTACTAGTTCAAAAGATATCAACAATAAATTAATATTAAATTTCATATACTATACAAATTTGATTGAGATTTAAATAAATTTGGTTGGCATATCCTGTAGTAGGAAAGTGCTGATAAAAGCCCTAAAATAGCATAATTGATTGGTAGTTAAAAAATGTATAAAAGCGTCAAGATAATAAAATCTAATATCTTCAAAAAAAATGAATACATTCCTCTTAAATCAATCATTATTTCTCTTGAAAAGTAAACATGCTTCTACCATCTCAAGGCACATACAACAGTGCAGATAAACTCTTTGAAAGTGTTCAAACATTAGCAAAATCACAAGGATACACATTGGTTAAAAAAAAAATCTGTAAAGATAAGCGTGGTAAATTGAAGAACATGGAATTATGCTGTGACCGGGGTGGCATGTATAGTAATTCCCTATCCTTAATTGAAGAAACACGCACTAGACAAAGTAACACCAGGTTAATTAATTGCCCTTTTGAATTATATGCAGCTAGATATGGTGATCAATAGAGTTTCGAAATTCGCAATCCAGTGCATATACATGATCTATCAAGTGATATGTCAGGACACCCAATTGCTCGAAAACTTACAGAACAGCAACTAGAAACTGTTGCAGCAATGACTGCTGCTGGATCACTTCCCCAGGAAATTATTTCGACCCTATGTCAAAATGATGAATTAATATTAGTTACCAATAATGATATCTACAATACATGCAAGAAACTGCGGCAACAAAACTTGGCAGGCTGTACCCCTATTCAAGCTCTCATAGATGAGCTTCAAAAAGGGAATTTTTTTTATGACTATGAATGTGATAATAATAGATCTGTCAGTTATCTATTTTTTGTACATAATGAGTCCATTGCCTTTACCTATTAATATCCATTTGTTCTTCTCATGGATTGTACTTACAAAACAAATAAGTTTAAAATACCTCTATTAAATATTGCAGATATAACTTGCCTTACCATATATTGCCGAAAATAAGCTACCTTTTTTGGCCAAAAAAGTGACACAAAATCATGGGGGTAGCTTATTTTTGGGTAAAGTTTC